CTCTTGAATGTGGCTCGCATCGATTCGACGATTGTTCGATTCGCCCTTTCAGCTCTGCCATTGTGTTCCGGATGGTATGGTTCTGAAATTAGCCTCCGAATGTGATTTTCCTCCAATTACTTGACTAACCTGCTCCCCGTGAATTCTCCTCCACCATCTGAACAGATTTGAGTTGGTAAGTATCCGAGTCTCTTCTTTTCAGTTTCCAGGAGATCAATGAGCACGTCGGTGGTGTCGTCCTTCTTGGCTAGTGGGAATCCAGCAAGATAACCAGAGAAGTTATCGACTAGAGTGAGGATGAACTTTGATTGAATTTTGGAAGTAGTGTTGGAATTCCATTTCCCAAAACAGCCCTCGAAAGAGGAGAGCAGCAGGTAAGCTTTACACTTTGTTTGTAAGGCTGCCTAGAAAGTTAATTGCATACTGATCATGTATAGAGCTTATAGATTGTGAATCTTCGATCAAGCGAAAAGCTTGTGAAAAAGGGAATGACGTCGATGACGTCAGGTTTCTAAATGATGACGATTGTCAATCATTGAGCTCTAGGTGAGCCTCAATGATTTACAATCGGGTTGAGGAAAAGATTGATACTGATCACTCTTCCCTTCTACAACATCATCTTTAGCCCGACTGAATCTGACTCACAACTCAAACTTATCGAAAGAATCTCCTCATCATTTATCGGTGAGTGTTTTAGCCTTTCTTAATTTTAAGAAAGAGAGCGATACTTATAATAGATAAATGAATGTTATTCAGTATCGCTAAACGAATCGAAATAAACAAAAGTCATTAAAGAAATTATTTAACACTATAAACAAGTATAGTGGTTTCTTTTATCATTTTTATTTAAGACTGTAAAAGATTAAGATGTTGACTGACTCACATCTTTTCCTTAAATAACATTAAGCTATTATCTTGAATTTATTCTCAAAATACTTTAGCGCATTATTATCAAGTTATCATTTCTATTTCTTTATTTATCTAATTCAGATTCATTCTGCCTTTAGGTAAAAGTCATTTTATTATACTGCTGTATTTATAAGAAAAGATAAGATAACTTATAAAGAAATAAATCTTTAGTTTCCAAATTTTTTCAAGTAGGAGTGATAGGACCAATGATATCAAGGTGGATTCTCTCGAAGACTTTTGTTGCAGGTTGCAACTCATGTTTGAAGGGTTGTTTGGTGATTTTTGAGAGCACACATGATTTACATTCGAAGTTGTCCAATTCGGATTTGGATATTGAGTTGGGAATGAATTGCTTGATTTGCTGGAGAGAGGCGTGGCCATATTTCTCATGGATTTCCTTCAAGGACTCCGATGAGGAAGTAAAGTGAGCCGAATAGTTGACAGATTGGCCTACGAAGTCCGGATTTTCAACGCTGAACAGATTGTTGGAAACTTTTCCTTTGAATAGTTTCTGATTTCCTTTTGAAACAGAGAAAATTCCTGCCTGAGCTGATAGGTGACAACCTTTTTCGATCAGAGAACCAGCGCTGATTAAGTTTACTACAATGTCGGGTACATATAAGCATCCTTCCAGTGAGACGGTGAGTTGTCCCCATCTCAGCGTCACGTTGCCCGTTCCTTTAATCAGTAGGGTAGCGTTTTCTTTTCCGGTGCGAATGACGTCGCAGTCTCTGAGTTCGAGTTTATCGAAGAAGCGTTTATCATTGAAGATGTGAGCTGAAGCGCCGCTATCGAGGATGATTTTTGAGTGAGGGTCTCCGCTCTCTATCCATAGAGTGATTAGTGACATGTAATAATTTACGTTCTTCCCGGCCTTCCACTTGGCTTGAGCTTCTTGCCACCATTCTGGTGCCTTTTCTGGATGCAAGTGCCAGCATGAATCCGCCGAGTGGTTAGAATCTTGTTTCGGATTGTGAAATCCAGTCGTACATTGTTTGGGACCAGAGGAATTTCCTGATGAATTGGCGGAGTCGCTGGGATTTCGCTTGTTGCCGTTTGATCGCGCTGGTCTTTTGTTCTTTGTTGAAATCAATGCCGCTTGTGTTGAGGATGAAGTTTCTTTGACTTCCGCCTTATTCTCGTTGTTGAATTGAGTGAGATGGTTGCAGACGAATTCGACCGTTAAATCTTTGTCCGAGTGCATGATTTGTCGTTTGAGAAGTTGTAGTGTATCCGGAAACTTGAATAGAATGAGATAGGCGAGAATGTCTTGCGGTAGATCTATTCCTACATCGACTAGCTTTTTGATTGAAACTTTGGTATCGGTCACAAAGGCTTCAATTGCGTCTTCCTTGAATTTCACGTACAGGAACTCATTGAAGATTTGAGCCCTGTTCGACGATTGAGAGGAGGCGAAGCGGTCTTTGATCGCCTTCCAGAGCGACTTTGCCGATCCACGATTGTCTGCCGTCACTATATTGTTATGGGTGACACTGTCCATCTTTGATATAAGGAGCAGTTTGAGTTCTGCATTGACATCGTTTGCTAGAGCTGAGTCGTCATCTTTGTCCAGTAGAACGAGTACCCCTTGCAGCTCAAGCAACGCCGTCATCTTGTCCTTCCATATAGAATAATTTTCTTCCGTCAGCTGAGGGATCGTCTCCAGCGCAGTCTTTAACATCGCTTGACGAAAACCATCGTTGTTTGAGACTGCCGCCATCGTTGGTGGGTTTTGAGATTGTGTCGATGGTATCCCCTCGGTCGATGTTCCTTGTACTCCTGCGTCGGCTCCACTTGACATGCGTTGATCGGTCGTAGGCTTTTAACCGTAAAAGAATTTGAAGTCTGTGATTTATTGCATAAAAGAGCCGACACACTAGAAGAAAAGATATCAATGAGAAAAGAAAGACAATAGGAAGAGAAGAGAAAAAGAAAGAAAGAAATAGTTGAAATAGAACCAACATTGAGACAGAAGAACTTGTGAGAATGAGCTTGACGGAGAGAGAGTTGGAAGAGGAAGAACAAGAGTTGAGGACTGAAGAAGAGTTTGTCAGTAAAGAGAAAATGAAAGAGAAGAGAATGAGAACAGTCAAATCTCACCAGGCAGAAGAGGAAGAGATCAGGGATTAGAATGAGAAGGAAATAAGATTGAGATTGATAGTTTGAAGGAGGTGATGTGTGTGTGTAGTAGAGATTGAGGTGAATGAGGTTGTAAGGGTTGATGAATGAGATGAGGAAGAAAGGAAGATTAAGAAAATGGAGAATGGGAATTGATCCGAGAGTGCAGAGCCTGTGACAGGTCTGTGAATCTAACAGAAGCCTTCCAGGAATCAATTTTAACCACTTTGATCTTAATTTTTTGGTAAAAAGATATTTTTCATAAGCCTTGTTCTCCTAGCTGTCACATGAGCTGATTGTGGTTTTGATTATGGTTTGAATTTTGAACTGAGGGTGGTCCCAAAAACACTCTAAATGGTGATGGGAAGTCCTCCACTTCTGTTGGAATCTACAAACCTCCCAGAATTCAATTTTTACCGCTTAGATATTGAATTTTGTTTAAAACATTGTTTGCTATTGGCTGTTGTTTGGACTGATTGTGATGTTGATTGCCCTGTTGAGAACTGAGAGGGCTCAAAAACACACTAAGTGGCAACAGGAAGTCTTCCACTATGTACAGTTGCGTATGGCATAGACCAATGCCCTGCCCGCAAAATCCAAATTGGACAGGCGGGGCCTATGACCCGGGGGGCATGTGCCCCAACACTTAATTTTGTTACAATTTTGAACTCCTACAGATGTGTAGAGTTCAAAATTGTAAACACTAAACTTTTGAGTGATTGGTTCAATTTTTTTTTCATTTCCACATTCAGATAATCGGACAATCACAGATTAAGCAATACTTAAACCCATAGTTATGGCTTTAAGTTATAAATAATCATGCTTTTATACTACTTTGTACACCCTCAACATCTACTTCTATCTACTGGAGCAGCGGTGGGCCACTACGCTACACTACGCTACGGGCCCATGTAGCGTTAGCGTAGCGGCGCCAATTTTTTTTTTCATGTAGTGTTAGCGCGCCGCTACGGCCGCTGCGCTACGCTAATTTGTAGCGGCGCTAACACTAACCTTTTTTTGGTGTAGTGTTAGCGCACCGCTGGCGCCGCTACGCTGCGTTACGCTACGCTACAGTGTTTTTAGCGGCAAAAAATGGCAAAAAACCGCTAAAAACAGCCGTAACGCAGCGTAGCGGGCAGTTTTTGGCGGCCTGTGCGTGTAGCGTTAGCGCAGATGGGGGGAATCGCGCTAACGCTACGCTAAACGTTAGCGCACGTTTTCACCCCATGCGCGTAGTGTTAGCGCAAAAAAAGAAACAAGCGCTAACACTACGCTAAATTGTAGCGAAAAATCGCTACACTACGCTGCGCTAACGCTACAGTTAGCGTAGCTGGCCCACCGTTGACTGGAGGACTTCCCGTCGCGATTTAGAGTGCTTTTTAGACCTCTCTCAGTCTTAAATTAAGAAAGCAATTGAGATTCCAACCAGCTCATGTGAGAGCTGTTTCTGGAAGGCTTCAGAAAAAAGTTTTTTTGATAAAAAAATTAGATCTAGGGGGTGTAAAACAACTTCTGGGAGGGTCGTAGATTGCGACGGGAAGTCATCCACTGCCACTGTTAATCTTCTATTCTAGTGTATTTTTTCTACAATCTCGAGGCTACAAACAGCTCAAAAGGCTGAAAATTTCAAAAAAAAACTGAATTTTTGGCTCGGCCATTCGGACATCCTCAAAATCCAGGGTCGGTTTTTGCCATCCGCAACTGTAGCATGTCTTCTTCTCCTTTCTCTTTTTTCTTGAGCCAGGCTATAACTTAGAAGGATCAAACAGTCATCTTTGGTTACCTTCAAGAGTTACCCAATCATTCATCCGAGGTCTAGAAATGAGCACGAAGGGTCTGGGACATCCCCTGTGAAGTTGTGAAGGCAGGTTTTGAAGTCGATGATGCAATTCGAGGTGCGAGTTGCTTATGCAATTTGGGGTGTTGAATGGGTGGATTGGCTAGCCCCAGAGTAGGGCCAAGCCTTCGGGTTCGATCGAGCAAGTTCCACCCAGCTCGAGTCCTGGTTCTGGTGGGTGCCAGAAGAATCTTTCAGCAGCAGCAGCAGCAGACCACAACCACCAGACTAAAGACTGACAACGCGCCTGTGCTTTTGAGTAACAAGAACTTAACCGGTAAACTCCCCCTCCACGCCCTTCCATCCTCAGCAGTACCAGTGAATATCCAGAGCATCGCTTTATCCGCAAAAACACTCAAGCTGACCGAAAACCTGTTGTTACTATCAAAACAAAAAGATAACTGTAGATTAACTTCTGTAGATTAACATCCTAGTCTATATCCTCTCGATCAAAAGTACCTCAAAAACTATATATCATCATGACTTCCGTCGTTGGTCTCGATGTCGGAAACATGGCCAGCAAGATTGGGCTGGCCCGTAAACGTGGAATTGATATCATTGCCAACGAAGTTAGCAATCGTGCCACCCCGTTAGTATCGTCACAGCCTTCTTTTAGCCCCATTCTTTGTTTTCGATCAGCTTCATTTTTGCTAATCTTGCTCATTTTTATGTTCAGCTCTCTGGTCGCTTTTGGACCCCGTAATCGGAGTATCGGAGAGTCCGCCAAGACTCAGGAAACTTCCAACTTCCGTAACACCGTTGGCTCCTTGAAACGATTGATTGGTAGATCTGTGACTGACCCAGATGTGGCCGAAATCGAATCCAAGTTCTTGAATGCCGAACTAGTGGACGCTCAGGGAACCGTTGGTGTCAAGGTAAGCCGCTCTTATTCTCACTTTTTTTGTTTCCTTCTCCTCGCCCGGATGCTTTGAAGAGTATTGGCCCTGATGAATTCTTTTACCCAGGTTAACTATCTCGGCGAGGAGCAAGTATTGTCGGCTACTCAGCTGTATGCCGCTCTCTTGGGCCGTTTGAGAGACACTGCCCAAGCTGAGCTCAAAGCCAATGTGAATGATGTCGTGATTGCCGTGCCGGGCTGGTACACCGATGCTCAGCGGAGAGCTGTCCTAGATGCCGCTGAAATCGCCAACCTCCACCCCCTACGATTGATCAATGAGCTTACGGCTACCGCACTGGGATACGGTATCACCAAGACCGACCTCCCCTCCCCTGAAGAGAAACCTCGCTACGTTGCCTTTGTCGACATCGGTCACTCTCAGTATCAAGTTGCGATCGTCGCCTTTAGCAAAGGAGCCCTCCATGTGAAAGGCTTTGCCTACGATCATCACTTCGGAGGTCGTGATCTCGACTATGCTCTTCTTAAACATTTTGCCGGCGAATTCAAGGAAAAATACAAAATCGACGTCTTGTCAAACAAAAAGGCCATTTTCCGTCTCGCTGCTGCCGTCGAAAAGTTGAAGAAGGTCCTCTCTGCCAACGCTCAAGCACCCCTCAATGTAGAATCCCTCATGAACGACATCGATGCTAGTTCCTCATACACACGTGAAGCCTTCGAGGAGCTAATCTCCCCTCTTCTAGAGCGTACCATCGCTCCCTTGGAACGTGCACTAGCCCAAGCCGATATCAGTAAAGACGACATTGAAACCGTCGAATTGATCGGTGGTTCAACCCGTGTCCCAGCTTTGAAATCTCGTGTCCAGGAGTTCTTTGGCAAGCCATTGAGCTTCACCTGCAACCAGGACGAAGCCGTAGCTCGTGGAGCCACACTGGCATGTGCTGGCCTCTCCCCCATCTTCAAAGTGCGGGAGTTTGCGGTGAATGATATTGCCAATTTCGCCATCAGCACCGCTTGGCAGCCGACCCCTGATGACCCCAACACTAGCCTCGAGACCTTCATTCCCGAAAGCCACGTTCCTTCTGGCAAGCAATTAACCTTTTACCGCTCAGAGCCATTCGAGTTGGAAGTTCGCTACTCAGAGCCTCAAAAACTCCCTGGATCGATCAACCCATTCATCGCCCGCTATGTTGTGAGAAACGTAGCGCCCGATGCCAAGGGCCAACCGGCGTCCGTCAAAATCAAAGCAAAGCTGAACATAAGTGGGCTGGTGTCGCTTGAGGGTGCGGTCGCATTGGAAGAAGTACAGGCAGAGGCTCCACCCGCAGAGGGTGGTGAAGAAGCTAAGCCTGCCAAAAAGACCATCAAGAAGGAACTTTCGGCCTCCTTCATGACTTCTTCGCTAGAACGACCAGCTCTCGACGACCTCCTAGCTAAGGAGGGCGACATGCACGCTGGCGACAAACTTGTTTCTGAGACCGAGGATCGAAAGAATGCATTAGAGGAATATGTCTGTGAGTATACATTTCAATTCTCATAATGAACGATCCGTGTTCTCATTCCGCTCGGTTTTCCTCAGATGATACCCGAGAAAAACTTGAGGGAGCATACGCGCCTTTTGTGACTGCCGAAGTCAAGGAGCAATTGCTCAATGCACTTCAACAAGCGGAGGATTGGCTCTATTCCGAGGAAGGAGAAGATGCCAGCAAGTCGCAATATGTCGCTCGATTGGATGAGCTTACTGCGATCGGCAACCCTATCAAATTCCGTCAGCGTGAAGCAGAGGAGCGCCCACGAGCCGAACGCCAACTGAGAGAGATGATCTCCGAATATATGCAGAAGGCTCAGTGTGGCGATCCGATGTACGCTCATATCAGCGAGAAGGACATCCAAACGGCCATCGAAAAGTGCGCCGCTGCAGACAAGTGGATCGGTGACGTATCTGCAAAGCAAGCTGAGCTCTCCAAGACACAGGAGCCAGCGATGTCCTCGAGTGAAATCCTTAAAAGAAAGGATAACTTGATGTTTGAATGCGTGAGTACTTGTCAGAAGCGTCTTTCATTCTTTGTTCACGATGAAACGGTTTACAGCTTACTAAGTATGGTTAAATCTCATCGGACTGGCTTCATAGAACTCGATCTTCAACAAACCCCCGCCCAAGACGACCGCCAATCCTGATGCCAACAAGAATGCCAACCAGAACCAACAGAACGAGAACGCTCAACCCGCCAATGAGCAGCCTCAAACCGAGCCAGCAGGTGGTGAAGAGACTGAAGGAGAGAAACCGGCGCCAGGTGCCATGGATGTTGACTAAGCTTGTTGTTCTTTTTTCCAAAGCTGAACAAAAAAAACAGAAGTTGAAAACCTCATTGCTTGTCTTTCATCTACTAGAAATGGTCGTGTTTTGAATGACATATACTGTTTTGTTTCCTCGGAATTATGTTGGGCAGTTCTTTATTCCTAACCAACGGCATCCCAATACTCTTCTTGTTCCTCTTGTTTCTTTTTGACTATTCTTTGTTTGTCTCGTCCATTCCTCCTCCTGCTCCTCTAGTGGACTAGGGTAAACAAACAAACAAACACAAAACACACAACTAGATATAAATAGTAATAGAAAATGAAAAATCGATCATCAAACCTGTCCATTTTTTTATCAAGAAGGAAGGGAAAAAACAACACATGAGAAGGGAGTTCCCTTTTGCAATAAGTTTTTGTGCACATTCATCATCATTCACTTGTGTTTTTGGCCTTGTTACCGAAAAATCTCGCTATCAACTGTGAGTTGAGTCTGGCATGTTTCAGGATAGCTTTTTCGGTTCTATGTACTCATCAGATAAAAACCTCTTGATTGACAGATCAAGGCGCCTTTTCTTCGACTCCATATACACCCAGTTGGACTTGGGACATGTTTGTTTTTGCTGCATATTTTTTGGTGAACTTTCAACTGGGAAATAATGCCCTCCCCCAAACCACCTCCTGAAGAATATTTCATCCCACTACTTACAATGAGTGGATTTCGATTGTGAAGTTATTCACATCTCTCTGGTGGAAATTGTATCATGAGATAGTTCTTTTCAACCGTTTGGTCTCACATGTCGTTTATTGCCAAAAGGGGCAAAAAAAGGAGGGTGGCGGTGGAGTGGAGGGGTGAACTGTGAAAAGGATGTCCGGTGCTCCTGAATAGGATGGCCTCCTTCACCACCCTTGTCTCAGCTTGTATTTTCCATCGATCTCCATTTCCCAACCATCCCCCTCCCTGTTGACCGCGATGAAGGCTGAAAGCGGTACGACAGTCAACAGCTTATCAACTAATCATCATCAGCCCAACCAACAGCATCCCTCACCCACCCACCCGGGAGAGAATCTCGTCAGCGGCGCTTTACCCCGAACACGGACGACGACAACGGCGCCTGGTGACGATCATTCCGAACTAATCCTGGTTGGTGATCGAAGTAGGTCATTCGGTTTCGTTGTTGGAAAATTCTGATATGCCCCATCAGAGACTGACGAACTCGATCCCTCCCAGCTTCACCATTCAGCCAACGTACCCTGTTTGCGCTCCAGGAGCGAAAGATCGCGTACCGGTTTCAGGTAGGAACTCATGCTTCTTGACTTGTTGGGTCATCCCGTCTGACCCAGTTTGATATGTTTTCCAATGACCAAATGTAGGAGGCTACTGATGCCCAGAAATCTCTCGATGCTACAGCCACAATCCCTACTCAATACCTCCCTTTCATCATCTATCGAGGTACAGCAGTCGCTGGCGGTAGCGTAAATTTGATTCAATTCCTCGAAGATGGTATGGATTCAATCAAACCTTCTTTTTTTGCCTCTTCTCATGTCTCACTCTTTTCATTGACCTTTTCTTTGTTGAATTCTTTAGCCTTTCCAGATCACCATCCACGGCTATTGTCCAATGATCTAATTGAAAGAGCGCGAGAACGGCTTTGGTCAGATTATATTCGCCAATACGCCGTCCCACTATTTGTCAGGTGAGTCCGTGATTTGTCTTATTTGTACCATCCAGAAATTATATTTTTTTATTGAAGAAGTCGGTATCTTTTATTTCTTTTCTAGGGCGTTAAGGGCAAGGGTTACTTTTCATCGATGTGATAGTACAACCATTGCTGGATTGGGAAAAGTTCTAAACAACTATTGTGAATCTGTAAACCAAAATTTTCCATCCACCCAGGACACCAGTCCTTCGATGCTCATCCATTTGCCAAGTCCATCCAAACCTAACAGTGCTGAATTTTTTTTCTCCAACTTCTTTCATTGATTCATATCATTCTTGGACGGGCCTATGTCGGTAGTGCATTGGACCGTTCTTCTCCGGTGATCAACTCAGTTTGCCCGACATACTCATCGCCCCATTTGTGTTCCAAACCAGGCTGAGCGCCTTTCCTAGACTAGCCACCGCAGCTTCGACTTTGGTAGATTCAGGGGCTGGGACACGATATCAAGATTATGCGAATCAGTTGTTGAAGTGTCAAAGTTTGAAAGAAGTGCTGCCCAAGAATGATGTGACTATTGAGGTTTGTGTGCTATTGGCTTCCCAGATATATAAAAAAAACACGCGACAGTTCATACCACTGATAAGTTATTCTTTTGCGACTTTTACACAGAATTTGGGCATACAAATTCAAGCCATGTCGAGACGGATATCACCAAGTGTACCTCCGCTACCTCCAGAAATCATAACTCAGATAATTGATGAACTTGGCGACTACGAATTGGCGGAGACTTTGGAAGTTGCGCATCACATTCCACCTACATCAGCCTGGCTAGAACTCGCCACGCCGCTCGATCAGGCGATTTTATCTGGTCGATTGGCTCGGGTGATCGAAGTATACGCGGAGGAGAAAGAGACGCGACTGTCGACCTGGGGTGCACGAGTGATGGTGCGGTTCGGATACATTGCGATGCTCGATTATCTGTTATCTGTCGAGCCTGAGCAGCTACATCGGTTGTGTGACGATCTCTTGCCGGACGTTGCATCGGCATGGGAGCGAGTGAACGTTTTGGAATGGGCTCTCCATGGAGGCTTTGGGATCCGGGCCGATGCCAGCGAATCAGCGATCAATGAAGCCTCCATTAACGGACACGTAGCCGTCCTGGAGTGGTGGAAGAACTCGGGAGTGGCGCTGAAGATCGGGAATGTGATGGATTATGCTAGCTTAGAGAGCACGACGATCTCCTTGGAATGGTGGGCACGAAGTGGCTTGGAAGGGAAATACAGTCGGATGGCCCTGTTGAATGCCACCAATCAAGGCCATCTCAAGGTCTTAGATTGGTGGTTGAACTCGGGCCTGCAACTGGTCTATGACAAGGAGATCCTAGTCGGGGCTACCAAGTATGGGAAGCTCGAAAGCCTGGAATGGTGGTTCAAGAGCAAGCTGAAGGTCGCCTATACGATCTTTGACATCGAGGAAGCCATCGAAGATTGCACTAATCGTCAGCTCGAAGTCCATGGCTGGTGGAAACATCAGGGTATCGATCAGGCTGGTAGTGCTATCGATTGGACTGAGACTAAGTTCTTGGCTAACTCTCAAGCTTGAATCGACACCCGTAACTCGAATTGCCTAATTTACTCTCCGGATTAGAAAGATCAAATGCAAGATGATTACATGTTTTTATTATTTGGATTGTAATAATCAACCAGTAGTTAACTTATCATAGCGTAATATACCTCTTTTTATTTATCATTAAACAATGTGACCACCGGTCAGGTTCTTTTCCTCATTATTTATTCTCATCATCTATTTGTAGCATTGCTATCCTCTTATTCATTTGTTGCTTATACAATAAACCCTCCTCAAAAAAAGAAATGATGTTGGTTTTTTTGGAAAACCCTTATGAACCTCTTCATCTCATGGAATCAGCATTCATGTATACAATGTACTCTCTTATAAACCAACAAACACCTGATGATAATTAACTTCTAATGATCCGGTTCACTCTTGATCCTCTTGAGCTTGGTGTGGGGGGGGGGGGGGTTATCAAATGACATGAGACGTAGCACGGGGCCTTTCGAAATTTAGAGTGACTTTGATAAAACACCTTACGTAAATGAGCTTTCTTGAGGTTAGTCCTGGGCTGTCATAACAAGATTGCTGGAACGACTCCGACGACTCTTGTGCACTCATCATCATCGCGACGCCTCATACTACATAAGTCAAGACCGTTCCCGAGATCGACCATTAAGCTTTTGTGAGAAGCTAGAAGGCGTTCCCAGGGCGCTGCTCTGGGCAATTACGGGGTTAACCCGTTTGCGGTGTATGTAGTCATTTGTTGAGGGAGGCATTAGATTGAGCAATTGCCGATCCCAAGCAGTGTTGCAGTCGACAGTTTCCATGCCGTTCATCCGGTCTCCTGGTCATGGGACACCGGGTTTGGAGGAGTAGCCCTCATCTGTCACGGGGGCTGTCAGGAGTTCCAAGCAGCGCGAGTCACCTTTCACGCTAGGTGTCACGACTTAGCCCGCTAAGCTGGGGGGTTCAAATTGGGGATGGGCTGTGACTCCGGAGTCTGATCAGCCGAGTCCCCGACCAAACCGGTCCGATCTTTTCACGCAGCTCGGCTCAAGCTTCACAGCAGCAGCCAGTTGGTAACCAGCCATCTCCTGACTCTTGGGCTATTTCAACCAGAGCCCTTCCTTCCCTCATTTGACCTCATCCTATTAATCTTCCTCGTCTCCTTCTCCCCCCCACACACACACAAGCATCACTTCAACCAATCAACCAATCTATCTCAAAAATGGAATCAGACTATCAATTACCAATCTCCAAACTACAACCACTCCAAGGTCAGTCCCCCTTATCTCTACTTCCCCCACCCATCTAACCATACTCATCACTTGTTTATATCCCACAGATCCCTCCAAGACCCCCCTCGTCTTTGTCGCATGTGGCTCATTCAGTCCAGTCACCTATCTCCATCTGAGGATGTTCGAGATGGCCCGTGATCATGCGCGATTCCATAGCAACTTCCAGGTCGTTGGTGGTTACATGTCACTCGTTAATGATGCTTACAAGAAACCCGGTCTGGCACCCGCCCTCCATCGTTACGAAATGTGTCGACTGGCCTGTGAAGAAACTAGTGATTGGATCATGGTCGACCCTTGGGAAGCCAGACAGGCCGAATACGTTCGAACGGCCACCGTCCTCGACCATTTCGACTACCATCTCAACCAAGTCCTTGGTGGTGTAGAATGTCCAGCCACTGGCGAAAAGAGACAAGTTAGGATCGTCCTTCTTGCCGGTAGTGATCTCATCCAAACCATGAGTCAACCTGGTCTATGGTCCGAACATGACGTAGGTCCTTGCTTCATAATCGCTTACAGTCCGTTAGCCCCTAGCTGACCCAGTCACCCGTCATCCTGACTCCTCAGCTACATCATATTCTTGGTCAATTTGGATGCTACATCATCGAACGAGCCGAGTCGGAAATAGACGAAAGTCAACTCTCAGATTCCGTCCACTCCCAATCCCCACTAGCGATGTATCGTAGCCGAATCTATTTAGTACCTCAACTAGTTCGGAACGACGTCTCGTCGACCAAGGTTCGACTATTCGTCCGCAAGGGGATGTCAGTCGAGTATCTCGTCCCAGGACCGGTTGTCAAATACATCCGTCAACATGGACTCTACCAAGACGAGCTCGGTCCTTCCTGCTCGACTATCAGCACCCCATTCATTCAAGCCTCCCGCTCCCCCGTCCTCAAGGCGGTCCCTGACTCCAGTCTCCCTGCCTCCTTCAATCATACCAGTTCCCTCCAAGTGCCTTCCTTGGCTTCAGTCAACCAATCGTTGTTGAAATCTATCTTGAATCCTAAAAAGAAGCAGTGATCCTTGAATCATCGTTGTCCATCATGTATCGTCTCTTCTTCTCTTTCTCTCTTCATCTCACGTTTCCGTGCCCCTTCCCCCCTTGCCAACCTCACTTCATTGCATCTTCGTTTCACCCTTCGCTTTGCTCTTCACCCTCGCATCTGTATAACTCCGCCAGTTCTTATCTGTGGCCCAATGTCTTCTGCTCACTTCCCCCCAAAAAAACAACTTTACTTCCGACAAAATCAGCTCCATAATGAACTATTCTCGTTCCTGGAAAGATATGCATATATTTATTAATATATAATAGCTACTGTTCCATATAGAGTTCCTCTCTTATTTTCTTTAATACTCAAGCAAATCCAACCTTCTTCATCTCTGCGTTATCATCTCTTTACGACCGTTCCTTCTTCTCTCCTCCTCCTGCTTCTCTTTCTATCTCCTTCCCAAAGTTAAATCTCGTTCTTAACACTTGTTTGATCTTTTCGACCTAATTTATGTACTTGATTAACCAAACTTTTTTACATTTATTTATCTCTGAAGAAAAAGAAACACATCACAATCTTCTCTAAACAAAAGAAAAAAGAAGAATGTATGTTGCCTCAATGAAATTTGAGAAAAGGCTTCATACTAAAATTGAGGACTACCCATCATTCATATATCTAGGTGTCTAATCTCAACCGTTCTCATTCTCATTCTCTTCAAAAGAAGAAAACAAATATCTATGTGACATGCACATCAAATGTGTACGAGCACGATCAAATCAGATTGGCCCAAACTTTCAAAAACAAGACCAATTCTTTCATCTTGGACTGGCTGTCATCTAACTTAACTACACTTAAACCTCTCTCAACAGGGCAACTACATACAGTTAGGAACTGTTCTAAAGAGAGGTGTGGCTCATTTGATTAACCTCCCCATATCATTGTGTTAAGGTTGATCAGAACACTTCATTGACATAGGTTAACGATTTCCAGACAACTATTAATGACATAAATATTTGGAAAGTTCTTCATGACACTCTTTGTGCTCAGAAGCATCACTGGAAATTAAATAATAATCACTCCCAAGATCTCAGGTTAGAACTTGGATTTATCTGGTTTAAACCCATTGATGATGTGGACACATGTGGTTTTGGCAAAAAAATACACAAGTTCCAAATCACCAGTGACCAGAATGTGGGGGTATCTTTTATCATGCTCATGCCTTGGAAACCACGGCACAATCCCCCCCATATATATGTGGATCACTGAGGTCATACCCATTTTTGCTCTGTAGATTGAAGCCCTACAAAAAATAACATCAAAAGTACATCTCAGTGGCATGAACACTAAACAATTTTATGTACTAGTACTTCCCAAATATCAGCAATTCCATCTCCTTTAATTAACCTTGTAAGTTATGGTTCCAATGTTTTTGTTTGTTAGTCACACCTTCCTTCTGATTTGGGTGCTTTTTTCCTCAAAATCAGTGCCACAGTCTAGTGGTGGGACAGAAAAAAACTGTGAGATAAGTTCCATTTTGTTTATGGACATGTGGGAAAAAGTTCATCCTATGGCTTTTCCCAAGAAATACAGAGATACAAATAAGAATACTAAGAAAAGCAAACTTGAGGTAGCATAATTACAAACATCCCATTTATCTGGCAATTGGGCAACATCTACTGAAGTAACTACTTCACTACGCGATAAGTGACCAATGATTGTTGAAGCAGTTTCAGGCTCAACTTCAGTGCGACATTCAGGACAGGTGGTCTTTGGAAGGATCAGCCAAGCTCGAATACATTGTTCATGAAACTGGTGAGGGCAGTTCAATTTGATCATTGCACCTCTGACTTCTTCGTCTTTACAAATCGAACATGCGTCTGATTCTGGATCCTGTGGCGCATTGGAGCTTCTAGGAGGGATGATGCTAATCGATTGATGATCCGAGCTCGGTGTCTGAGCATCTGAGATGCTTGTCCGTGGACTGTTCAACGAATATTTCTGCTTCAGATCGGCAATGGTAATCGCGCGTTCGTGTGGGTCCTATTAGCCCAGCCGCCGTGGCCCATGTGTTTCCCAGTTAATATTGCCCGATCTTCCGGAATGTTAAATGGATTTTTCCTACCTGTTGATTTGAGTGCTGGTCCGCGGCTTGGGAGGAATGTGCCTCTCCGGAAGACCCCAACAAAGTTGGAGATTCAATCGGAGGGGTTGAAGAAAACGAGGGCAATGAGGGCAAACATCCTTGCAAGTCATCGACGGCTGCTTTTTGTCGTATGTTAATGATCTGGGATGGTTCTTGAGAGGGTTCCATCCCCGCACACTGAACCGCGGCCAGCTGGTACAAAAAAGGAAGCGTGATGTATGATTGTGATCAGGTATCTTCCTCTCCTCGCAAAAATGGGACATGATACCGTCTAACCATGGCAAATACCAGCGTGCAAAAGACCATGCGACTAAATTTCATTCGTAACCTTACAAAAAAAACAGTTAGTTCTCGAATTTATCCCAGAGGCATAATGATAACGAGGCTCCATGTACATCACCGATTGTTATCTATTCAAGCTTGCCTGGACTACTTCCTTGGTGCTGAATAGGAGGTGAATTCTGAATGTAAATAAGCTATCTAAATAGTAACCAATTCGCCAAGTGATCTGGTACGCGACTCTGACCCTAAGCAAGATCAAACAACGTTGGCACATTCAGGCTTCAAATTCAATTCCAAGGTATGTATTGTGATACTCCATGGAATCTCCAATGCACATATTGACAATACATGTACGACTGGGCAGCCTTCTTACAGTAACAGTACGCTTTATCCAGGGTGATGTGACGGATGCTCGTTCTGGCGCAAGTCAGATGCTTATAGACTCCCCGCACAGATTTTGAAACTTTCGGGGTCTTGGTTTTGTGACCATAACAAAAGAAGGTTCTGGCCGTCAGGCGAGGTTTGATTGCCATTTGGGCCTACATCTTCTTTCCCCTGTTGAAAACCAATGCAAGTTTAGTTTTTCCAGATCCAACTGCTGATCTAACGATCTACCTCAACTTTGGCCGGACTCCGGAGCATCCAGAGCTTTGCACAAGCTTCATCACCCTTGAAAATATGGTTGTGCAATGATCGGAGATGGATGAGCGAATCCTTTCAGACAAAAGAGCAGGAGATGAAAGACAACAAAACACTGAAAAAGAAGGAGAAAAAGGGCATGAAGAAATGAACAAAATTGATTTGTCCATGGGTCGGCGAGCTTATAAACAGGATATAAGCGTATTGATGAGGCGAGTTGAGGTTGGAGGAGAAAAATGGGAGAACGCCTTGGGTTTATGGGTATTGAGTACCCGTTGAGTACATACATACCCGTAAATTAGTGCTACTCAATACATACACTGTTAGGTGATTTGATTCCATGGCCAAAGCCATCACATGATCCATGGGCAGCCATGGACTGTTTACACCGCCTCCGGCTCTACAGCAATTCACAATCTCTGGTGGACCAGACTCCATCCTCCTTCATAGACATTCGGCCATCAATAGCAGATGTTTTGGTGGCCAAACATCCCTCATCCCTCTTCACTCTGACATTCACATATTTACTTGTGAGCCTTTTTCTTGTCATACACTGAAAGAACGGACTGCATTAACGGACTCTTTTTGGCTACCTTTGATTTCCGAATAATTATCACAAGTTGTTCTTGCGTCTGGACTGTTACGCTACACGAAATTGGAAATGCCGTTCCTGATCAAATCAACCGCACTCATATTTCTCGCCGCCCTCTTCGGACGGATTCAAGCTAAGGAACTGTGCTCCCTGGCTAAGCCTCGGTTGTGGTGCAGCACAGCTCGCATGTCCAAGACAGGTGAGTGGGCGGATTGCAAGCGTAAGTTTTCTCTGTGGCTTTTTGCGAAATTCAATATTCTACCTCTCATCTGTAAGTTTGGCTGAGTATTCTGGTCCATGTAATCTCACTCAAAAAGTGCACCCTTTGGATGAAGGAAAATGTAAATCTCCCGGCGCAAGACGATATGGACCTTTTCTCGCTTGTTGCCACCCCGCTGTCACCCCTGGAAAAGTGGGCAATGTCATATCTTCCTTGATACTCAGTTGAACCCACTGTCTGATTGTTTGTTTTTGGAATTGGTGTCTTGATTGCAATATTTAACTTGATATGTAGGGTGGATCGATTGGTTGCGCTGTGGTTCACAAATACTGCTGAAAACTTTTGAATTATGCTCAAGGCTAATTGTTGAAATTCTGCCGTCTCCAGGTTTCCTTTTTTTTATCCCTGTCACTCCCTTTCATCATGTCACTCCTTTTCATCATGTCACTCGTTTCATCCCTTTTTCCATGCATAGTCATGTCATCTTTGTCCCACAAACTGTCCGTAATAGCTTAAATACATTGCTTGGATAAGAGAAATAAGACATCTGTTCTTCTTGGCCTGATCCCTGAGGTCTCTACCAGATACAACCTCCTGTAGCATGTGTGCTTTTCCACCATAAAAACTGGCAGACCGAGCCCTCTTTGAGGGCTCAAAGACCATTTTTCTCCCTCAGAGCTTTTTCCTCAAGGATTTCCATTACCCGGTCTCTTCCCCTCTCCTGGCAAAAATCTCAGTTTCTTCATTAACGATTCTGATTTTTGTTGGGCTGCAACTGAATGTTGTGGGGAATTCACTGCACCCAGGGCACCAAGAGGCCAAGAGTTTCCAAAAATTCCAAAAATTATAATTCATTTTTTCTCCTTTGTTAAAACCAATTTTTTAAACCTTTTAAGTTTTTTAAACCAAGTATTTACCAATCAAGTTTGAAGAACCTTTTTTTGTGATGGGGAACAAATTTTGATAACCACACAAATGTTGTCAGAGGCCAAGCTGATTGAAACCAGTTATTGGGGAGCAGAGGTGGTGTGTTCTTGAAGCTCTATATTCTTCTTAGGATGAATATGTGGTAATATTGGAGTGCTAATTCAAAATCTTTCCTGAGCTCCTAAGAATGTAAATTGTAGATTTCTTTTGGAGCACTGCCAGCATAATTGGCTATGTTTTATGGCATAAATATTCCATTTCTCAGAATTTTTCTTCCTCAAGTTTTCATGTCATCAAAAGCGACTATTGCCAACAGCCATTTTTGGCCCAAAAGTGCAGAATCTCAACAACAGAACTCTCCCCTTTTTCAATTTTTGTGAAGAAGACTGGCACAGGCCCTAAACTAGGACCTATAGGAACCTGAGAGTCGTAAGTGTAAGATTCCGTAAGGTAAAAGGGAATCACCTAACACAGAAGTCTCGGAAGAGACTTCCCGGGTGCCGTGCTGCGGCGAGGCAGTGGCCTGTAACATGGATGTTACAACACCCCCCCTCTCGCCGCAGACGCCCCACTACATACAATTAATAACCAAAAAGGTAAAAAGAAATAAAACAAAACAAACTGCATCAGGCCTGAAGCATAAAGAAATAGAAGACAAAACAAAAAAAATTAAGAAAGAAATGTAGAAATATTTTCATCCCATAATCTTATCACGCAGTCCACAAAAAAGGTCAGGTGATAAACATTTGGTGAACACATCCGCTATTTGTTCCTTGGTCCCGACCCAAGAGAGTGTGGTCTTCTTCTGGAACAGAGCCTCATTAGTAATATAGAAATCCCTGTCTGAGTGCCTAGTCCGCTTATTTGAAGCGTCGTCCGTCGCCACCCTGACTGTAGATTGGTTATCACAATGGAGATGTCCAATGAAATCCATTTTCAGAACATCTTTTAGTAAATGTCTCACCCAAAGAGTCTGACGCGTAGCCACTCCCAGAGCCATATATTCCGCATGGCAAGTTGATGATGCCACTGATTGTTGCCGTCGAGCTACCCATAGAACTGGACAATTGAAGACTGTAATAAAAACTCCGTAAGCTGATCTCGAAAACTCCCCACCCCATGACGCATCACAATAAGTTTTCAGTGGTTTGTCGTCCAACTTTGGAAACAGTGAAAGTCTCAAGTCCCTCGTCCCCGCTATATAATTGATCAGGTGGCGAACACCCTTCCAATGGGTTTCTCCAGGTTTTGCTGCAAAGCGAGCAAGCAGATTCACCGCATGACAGATGTCCGGCCTGGTTCCCACCGCCAAGTAGCTGAGCGACCCTATAACAGATAAAAATTTTCCGGTCATACTCGGATCACCATCCGGGTCAGTAAGTGGGTTGAAATTTGTGGGCAGAGGTGTGCTGGCTGTTGAGGCACCGTCCCATTCCGAATCCAGAATACCATCGATCAAATTCTTTTGAAATAGCTGAAAACCTTGATCAGTTCGCACCACATTCAAACCTACAATTGAATCAAGGGAAGAGGACCACTTGATCTTTAATATATCTTTCAGATCAGTCTCCAACTTTCTGAGAAGGTCTTCGGATGATGCTGTCACCACCCCATCGTCAACGTGTAGCCAGATTACACCCTGCTTCTCCGGGTGTCGCAGGATGTAGAGGCTGTTGTCGTACTGCGAGGGAATATAGTTTAGTTTATTCAGCACTTCTCTCAGATGCAGCCACCAGCATCGTGCTGCCTGTCGAGTCCCGTAGAGAGCCTTCTGGAGGAGAAGAGCATGTCCTGGCGGTACTTCCAGTCCTTCAGGGGGTTTGACCCATACTTCTTCGTCTATTGGAGAGTTCAGATAAGCTGCTACAAAATCAAAACTGTGAACTGGCCACTTGTTAGCAGCTGCAATACTAAGCAGAACACGGAGGGCTACAAAAGTGGCTGTAGGTGCAAAGGTTTCATTAAAATCCACACCGGACACCTGTGTGAATCCTTTGGCCACAAAGCGAGCTTTGAAACGGATCCCAGTGCCATCAACGTCCGGCTTTGTTGCGAAAACCCATCGACCGTTCAATGCTTTCTTGTCCGTCGGCATCAAACGAACAAGCCATACCCTCATTTGCTCCAAATTGTTCAGCTCGACAGAAATTGCCTTCGACCACGCATCCTTCTCGGGTGACTTCATCGCCTGTTTGAAAGTTTTCGGAACAGAAATGGCATAAAAATGACACAACTCTAGGATTTTGTCAACAATCAATTCTTGGTCATGGAATTCAATCTCTCTGGTAAAATCACCCAGTTGCATCAGGTTCATGATAAAATCTACACTTAAACGAGGTGTCTTCTCGGCAAGTCCGGGATCGATGTGGTTTGTCGCCACCTCAGGATTTGAGGTATTGTTGTCAAGGTCATCGCCTACTTTACCAATTTTTGTGAAGTGAGAGTGTTCCGCATCGACAAAAGTCACCAGGGCGGAGTTGACAAAACGGTTTTCAGACGGAATCCAGAACATCCATCCCTTGCTCGTCTCCAGATGCGCCACAACCTGTCCCTGTAACGCCCTTGTGTCCAACTTCAGTCGATTTTCCACCGGTACGTGCACATACGCATAGCTGCCGAAAGCCCTAAAACGATCAAAGTGTGGTTTAATTTGGAAGAGAGCCTCATAAGGCTTGACTTTCCCGCTAGACTTATTTGGCAACCTGTTCAGAACATGCCCGGCCCACTGGAAAGCGTAGCACCAGAAAGTCTTAGGAAGAGAGCTGTCAATCAAAACTGTTCGCCCCATAGCCTGCACCGTCCGATTAAAACGTTCAATCATTCCATTCTGATAGTGGTGGTATGGCAAAGCTCTCTCTGTACCAATCCCTTTGTTAGTAAGAAATTCTCCAAGGGCTTTGTTGATGAATTCACCTCCATTGTCACTTCGAAGCATTAAAACTTTATTTGATGTTATCCTCTCCAGACGCGTTATTGTGTCCATAATAACCTTATTAGAATCTGATTTCGCTTTGATAGGCTTAACGAAACAGTATCCTGAGGCTGCGTCTCGGAGTGTAAGCAAATATTTACTGCCGTCCACTGCCTCCACCTTGAAAGGGCCAATAAGATCTACTGCCAGGATCTCCATCCGTTTGATTTCCCTTTTTGTTGATGTTAGAGTGTTCAGGGCAGTACTTTTGCTGATTGCACAGACAGGGCAGTGGATAGACCCATGCGGCAGTGACTTTGGTAGACCTTCTCCCAGATTCTCCTTGATTAGTTTCCTGAGTACGCGTAACCCCACATGGCCAAAAACTCGGTGCCAGAACAATAGTTGTTTCTCGTCTTTGGATAGTGTTTCTGGTCTCCATTGGAAATTATCAATTTTAGCAATAGGAGCTTTGAAAAAATTCTCACCACTGAACTTGGCAGTCGCAGCATTCAAAATTGGTTGAGACGGGGTCATATCAGACAGCAAAGGGTAGTTTTCATTTCCTGTAGAGATGTTAGAAACACTAGGGGAAAAAACAGGGTTAAGAGACGAGGAAAGAGGAGTTGACAAAGATTGATTGGCAGATGGAGATTTCTTGACAGTTGTTGAAAAAAGAACAGAAACGTCTCCACTTGATTCACGTATATTGTTGCACAAGAAGCGGTAGGGAAGGCACCATCGATTCCTCGACTTGTCTAGCGTGCAGCTAAAGGCATGGTTGCCCAGACTATTGAAAATCTCGAAAGCATCCCTGTCATTGTCATACAGAACAGAAGCATTAGACTTCCTGAGAGCTGCCATGGAGATTAAGTTAGACCTGGCTTGCTCACAATAAAGCACTCCCTTGATGACAATGATAGATCTGTCATTCACTTGGAATTTAAGGTCCCCGACTCCGGTAATATAGGATTGGTTGGCGGCGGTAGCTACCGAGAGGGGTAACGGTTTAGAAAGAGTACGGAAATTGTGGAGAAGGGAACGAGAGCCAGAGAAATGATGAGAGTCCCCAGTATCAAAAATGACTGTTGGACTTACTATATCTTCGCCCAAGGTCATTGCCCTGAAGTCAAGGTCATCAAGATCGTCGGGAACCTCCCCGATTTCCATAACCTGCGCCGATGCCCCCCCTTTCTGCGATTGCTGGTGTTGCGATGGGGCTGACTGTTGCCGGCTTTGTGATTGCTGATACCGGGGTCGGTAGAAATCGGCCATCCTTTTGGCCTGTGTCTGGAACTGGGATGGGGGGGCCGACGGAGAACGACCGGGACCTTGATTTCCGCCAGGCTGGGTGTACAGCGAACCGACGAAAGTTGCCATCTGCCGTTGCGAGTTACCGTGGCTTTGATTTCCGCTAGAGCCACGAGGACCGCCGTCTGATTGAAACCTTCCTGATCGTTGAGGGCAGTCTCTGAGATAGTGGTCTGGCGCCTTGCACTGCCAACAACGTCTTGCCGTAACCGCAAAAAATTCTAGAGCTTCCGACCAGTCATCTTCAGGGATTTCTGCTAAGAAAGCATCAAAATCAAAATCTTCATCGGCTGTCGATGTCTGCATCACTGACGGCATTTGCGGTCCTACAACGTTGTCTGGTTGGGATTGCTCGGACCACTGCTTCTGGCAGATGTTGTAGTTATGGACAATGGATTCGAATTTTGGGAAAGCCTTTGCTGCATCGTTCTGAACCTGATTTTCAATTCGTTGTTCAAAATCTTTCTTGAACGGCGCCGAAGATTGCATCACCGCCGATTGGAAGAGGAAACCAAAAACCACGTCGGAGCACAACCGCCCATTTAGTGCCTTCAGCTCAGTGTAAAGGTCCCGAATCTGCGCCACAAGACCAGTCGACGGTTCAGAGTGGTTGATCGTCATCCCACTCAATCGTCGCCACAGGTTCATTTGTGCCGCTCTCGAGTTCGCCGAGAACTTTTTCTTGAGGAAAGTGAAGATGTCGACCGTCTTTCCCAACGGTTGGATGTCCGGCACGAGATCTTGATGCACGCCAGCGAAAACGACAAGGCGCCCGATCCGTTCGAAGGTTGAGTTGTCGCAAGCCGAAAAGAAAAATTCGGGATCTGAGAGATGAGAGGTGCCAATCTCTCGAAGATCCCGCGTCCACTGCGAAAAATTTGATCCGTCTGCCCTCAGTACGTTGGTCGATTTCCATCGGTTGTTGATGGCAGAGACAGTTTGACTGATGAGCTTCGCTTGCTCGAGGCGCATCTTTGCGGCCTGAAACTCTTGCAGCTCTTTCTCGGCGGACGATTGAGGCGCTTGATGTGGGGCTTCGTGCCTGGCATGGAGCGGTCTGTAGGAGGTGTGTGGGCGGTGTTGATGTGACACATGGTGGGAAGTATGATGCGAGTACGATGGGCCTTGTCGAGTCGGATCACTGTTCTGAACTTGTTTTCCTTTGTTCAGGCTCTTGATCGTAGTCTCGGCTTGCTCGGTGTTGTCGCTTCCACCCAGCGCCGCATCGAAAATAGCTCCCATTTTGCTGGCGCCATCGTTGATGTCATACTCCGATTCGGATCCGTTCGTCGAAGCAACACTGGCCGATGACGCCCGGGACCACACATTTCGTTCCTGTTCAGATCTCGACATTTTTTGTTTCGGTTCTTTGAAGTCGGAGGAAGGATTTGAATGTGTGAGAGCAATGAATTCGGAAGGAAGAAGTGTAGATAGAATCAAGTGAAAAGGAAGGAAAATAGGAGGAAGGGGAAAGAAAAAAAATTGGATATGGGATTGGAAAGTAAAGAAGTGGGCTTAGGGGATAGAGAAAAGATTGGAGGGGAAGAGAGTGAGAGGAAATAGGGAGAGAAAAGGGAAAACAGAGAAGAAAAAAAACTGCGTGCGGCTGTTGTTCACCGGTCCGCCGTGTTGAGTATGAGGCCGAGGAGGGAAATGCCCGAGCTGTCGTCCAAAATGGTATCTGCGACCTTTCTGCACCGGTTCAGGGCCACTGAACCGTAATAGATAGATGGCTAGTCTATTTAGCTTATTCGGTACACTGATCCAAAACGAAGTTCCGGTCGGTCAATTCGGTTCGAAAAGCTTTGGCGATGAGAAAGAAATCGGCAACCCGGCGGCGAAGCGGAGGTAACTGATGTCGGAAGACGATAGAGAAAAAAAACGTAGTTGAAGAAATCCACGGGTCGAATCGAGGATTGTTCGGAGGTGAATGAGATAAGCAAGAGTCCTAAGGGCTCATAACCTATAGGAACCTGAGAGTCGTAAGTGTAAGATTCCGTAAGGTAAAAGGGAATCACCTAACACAGAAGTCTCGGAAGAGACTTCCCGGGTGCCGTGCTGCGGCGAGGCAGTGGCCTGTAACATGGATGTTACAACAGGACCCACTCAACCAACTTAGAATGGGTCAATTTCAACCAATTGAACATGGAACCAATGAAAGTACATCAGATTTACATTTCATTTGTTGAGATTGTCAGACACTGAGACACTAGCCCAGGCATCTACAAAAGGATTTAACCTTTCTGGGTTACACAATAACACGGTGAAGAGTTAAGTGTCGCATTTTTCAGTGCGACACCCGGGTGTATGTAATTCCTGCGGCAAGTAACGCGCGGGAAATTCCAAATGTCTGATGCGACAGGTGACCTGCCGTTTCAGCTGTCGCAGGATTATGTTCCAGCTATTGCAGGGGGCCTTTCACAAGCCTCTCCAGTGACAGCCCGGAGGCAAGCTCGAGCGGAGACCTAGGAAATACAACCATGCATAAAAAAGGATACAGCCATGCATAAAAAAAGTATACAAACCATGCATGAAAAAAGAGTGAACTTTGGATCGGAGACCCATCATCATGACAAGTGAGCTGACATGTTGAGATGTTTGGTTCAAGCAGGCTAAGTTTGATTTCACCTCCGGCCAGATCGTACAGCCAGCAACCCTTATAACGACCTCTTCCATCGACCTCTTCCATCCCCAGCTACCCTTCTTCACTCACTCCCTTGACCAGCCAACCAGTGTAAGCTACCCACAACTATCTCCTCCAGCAAACCCAGCTAACCTTCCTTGCTTGACTGGCCGGCGGATTATTCCAAGCTACCCAGATACTTCAAAGAATCAGCTACCCTTCTTCCATTGCTCACTTGACCGACCAACCAACCGCCTACCCACAGCCATCCACTCCAGGAGACCTAGCGCTCTACCCTTCAATTACTCGCTCAATCAATTGTTGTAAGCAACCCACCACTATCTACTCCAGCAGACCTAGCTAACCTTCGATTGCTCTCTTGATCAACCAATTGATTGTCTAGCTACCCTTTGGGCCTTCTTTGCTTGCTCACTCAACCATTCAACTCGCCTGTGGTAACTTGTTCTACCGGCCAGACAATAAGCTACCAAGGCTACACACAACCCACCTGCCTGTTTGATAAGTTGTGTAAGTCTCACTCATCCATTTTTTTGTCTCTCCTTTTTTCAAACTCTAAGAAGCCAGGCTAGATATCAGTCTTGCTGGGATAAGCCCACCTCCTCGTAATCCCTGATCAAAAGATGGCCTTGCCAAGGCAACACGTAGTAAACGCAAGCTTAATAAGGTTGTCAGATGGTTAGGTTGACAGGAGGGATAAATGGAATCCCATTTCGCTTCCTTCTATCTTTCACCTGTTCTATGACATCATGAGCCATACTGACATGTTTAAAATTCATTGATTGTCCTCAAACATTGGCGCCATGAGCATGAATACCCACCCAATTGATTTTGAAGCTGTAGTCTCAGCAGCCTTAGCAAAGCAGGCCAGAGATCTTGAAAACGACAGAAACCTGGCTCTTCAACAGCAAGCTGAACAGTTCAAGCACAGCCTTGCCGAAATACAAAATCAAATGCGATCTCTTTCGGCTGCTGCAAATCTTCCTTCCGGTGGATCTCTTGCTACCATCAGTGACTCGGCAACTGTATCCGCAACTCAAACTTCGAACAACACCATGCCCATTACCCCAACTCAATCCTCCGCTTCAAAAGGTTCAAAGAAACCCAAAGGCAAGAGCAAGGAAGCTACCCCACTAAGAGGAGTGCGAGCAACATCTGAACCTGTTGCAACTGTCAAAAAAACACCAACCTCTGCCTCAAAGACGCCCAAATCCGGTCGTGTCCGTCAAGTCACCCCCTCGCCGTTGAACCGTAAGCGCCATCCAGCCCAGCTTGTGACTAGCGACATACCCAAGCAGTACAAGACAACTAAGGTATGTTTGTATCCCATCAATGCGGTGTACAACGGTCTGATTTTTTTTTGGATCTTCAAGGATGCTTTATTCCTTCATATTCAAATGTTATGGGGTCTATTTGAACAGAACTCAGTCCCAGCTAAGGTTGACCCTCACCTCTCCCGAGAATTCCACCAACGATTCACTTCTGCTGAGCAAGTTGAGAATGCAATCACTCATGCCGATTCCCCTCAAATCATCAGTCAGGAAGACATCCTCTCCTTAAGACAAGGCCGCTCCGGAAGATTCAAGCTGGGAAGGGGCATGGCAAATATTGACGAAATGCAAATCCTGTACGTGCACGTGGTCTTCTCAAAAGTGGGGATTCGGGTCTGGGGGCCAAATCTTGAAGAGTCCCATGACTCTCTTTTCAACTCTGCATGTCGTATCACTGCCTTGAACACCTTCCGCCAACTTGCCTCAAGTGGTGCTTATCACTACATGAACATCAACACCTCGTGCCTCAATGAGTTGTCATTCTTAGTCAATGCCTATAACCATTATGTTCATTACGTGATGGAGTCTCGTTTCAAGAAGGAGATGAAGGAAATTGGAAAGCATGGGAAGGACGAGAAAAAGAAGTCAATCCAAAAGAATCGAGAGAGGGTAAGCAATTTCTTGTCTGGTGGCTTTGTGGGCACTTGTCCTGACTATATCCCTGGTTTTTTTTCTGTTGGAAGCTCTGCAAAAGTCGGCATGCATACGCCGTTGCGAATAAGTTTCCCGAACGCTACATCCGAATTCTCAACAACACTTTGGCGCACAGCGATGATGAGTTCAGTCCCGAGCACAACATCTACATCATCAAGACCCTGAGATACCATTCAAACAACGCAAATATTTTTTTCCGGCGCTTGGATGTTGAAATGCTCAAAGCCGATCAACTTTCCGGAAAGCAGGGACGAAAACGAGTCCGAAAACTCCCCAAAGCACCTATGGCTTCAACGTTCACCAAGCCCCCTATTGGTCTCCCACTCGACTTCTATCATCGCGGGTGGATCAAAAGCTTGAAGGAAACCGACCAGCGTCTCATTCCTGACTCTGAATCTGTTGCCTTTCTTCCAGACGCCAAACTCTCATTGTTGCCAACCAGGGTTCCAGACGAGAAGCTAGGTGATCAAGTGTTTTGTGCCAAGTTCCGTGATCTCCTTGTTGAACCCTACGGCTTGAATTTCCTCAATGGCAACAAATCCAATTCGAGCGATGATGACAGTGCTGATGGAGATAATGATGACATCGAAGTTGATGAAGACGACACTGACCAAAATGAAGAGGAAGTGGAAGCTGAGGAGTCTTTGTTCCTTGATGAGGGAGATTATGGAGAGTTGTATGGTGCTGATGAAAGCGATGTTGAGAATGGAGTTGATGAAGAGGGTGACCAGGAGGACATGGATGACATGTAAACCTCTTTGATTTCTTTGTACTTTCTTTTCTTGTTAAGCCGTGCACTCTATCTCAATCCCACAAAAAACATACATAAAAATACAAAAAAAATGACAATTACAAAATCACAATACAATTTCCTGTGACGACCATTCCTACCATGCTTGTATATACTTTATCATTTATCCTGCCAACACACTCATTTGAAATCAATACACTCCTTGAAAGAAATTCTTGTATGCCCCACAAATTTCAAAAGAAAGACCCTTTTGAGTTAGAGATGGTCGCGGATAATCCGCTGCGGATATCCGTTATCCGCTGGCGGATACCCGCTGGTCCCAGCGGATACCCGCCAGGGGGTGCGGATTCGGCTGCGGATGGCCGTTTCCCCCCCCAAACCTGGCGGATATCCGGGTATCCCAAGGGATACCCGGAGCCAATGGCCGGCTGGAAGGGTTTCCTTCCAGCCGGCGAGGTTCTTCCACCCGGCGAGGTACATGCTCCTCGGCTACAGGAAGGAAAATCCTCCAGTCGACGAGGAATGGGAGTCGATCCCCCAAACCCGTCAGCAGGTTTGGGAGTCAAAAAACCAAGCATTTTAATTAAAAAATAATCCAACCCCCGAAGGAGTTGGGGGTTGATTCCCCAAAACACCACTGGGTTTTGGGGGTCACTAAC